GTATTTTAGAGGCAAGTTTTAGAGGTGCTTCAAAGTCGTCGGGGGATGAAGACCACGAGTCAACAATAGAGACTTTCTTCTTCAAAGGGCTGCTTTTGTTGGAAGTGGGTTTCACGATGCTCTTGCTCGTTGGCGATGCGTCCGATGCCGTCCGTCGGATAGACTTCGGAGATGACAGAGCTCCCAGACCTTTACGCGGCCTTGGTAACGAATCTATCTCAACGACAAGTTCCCGAGAGGCCATCGGTCCGACGTGAGACCTATGAACAGACAGACCGGCAGATCGTGATGCAGACGAGGCCTGGGGACTACGTGGAGAAGCCATAGGTAGGGATTTGGTTGATCGAATGGAGCTTGAACCTGGTAGGCGCGGTGTGTGGTGTGGCTTGGAAGCTACGACGTCTAGAGAAGCTCTACTATCTTCAAGATCGACCTCGTCTTCAAGATCTGTGGGTGTCGACGACTGCTTTCGCTTTACGGTGGGTCGGCTCGATGCTGCCGCCCGCTCTTCACCGATTAATCCATCAGGCGCTGTCCGCTGATTACTGAAGGAGACGGTCCTCTGACCACCCATTTCTGACCTTCTGCCCTGAGGCAACAATGGAACATCCTCTTCCGTAGTATAAATTGTCGGGTCGCGCCGTGGAGAAGCTGAGCTCCCCTGCTGGGCCGAGTTGTGTACCACTACGGTTGGCTGTTGATCCTCCTTAATGTCGTATCGCGGGGCGCCCTCCCTCACAGAAATCACAGCAGGTTCCGTGCGCATATGGTCCAACGATCCATTTTGGGACGTTCTGGGGATGACATGGTTGTGCACATCATTCGACGCATCAAGACCGCCAAGTTTGCGTGGGCGATTGGGCGACAGGGCGGGTGGATTGTTGGCTGACCGAGCGTTTGTGGAAGACGACTGGGCAGCGCCACCGCCATGGCCGCTATTCCTGCTGCTCGGCGACGTAGGCAGTTCCACTCCAACCCGTCGCGGATCGGTCTCCGAGAAGCCCATGTAACCCCTCTCGCCCAACAGATGCATGAAGTTGAGGCCAGGCGGGAATATGTTGTATTTCTTCACGGACGCTGAGCCGCCGATGGCGAGTGCCTTCCACTCGAGGAAGCAGTCCTCTAGCCATACATGGTTCACAACGGGAATGCCCCATGTGATCGCCTTTTCGACCTTGGTACCTACGAGGCTACATTGGAGCGGGGCCCCTATTAGAAGTGTATACAGAATATATGCCAGGAGGCAGAAGAGTATTTTTACTCACGTGGCTGCGATGACCAGCGTGTTCTTCTGAGAGAAGCTGGCTGTAAATTCTGCGCCAGTGAGGCTGATCAGTTGCTTCATGTACTCCCGCGAGTCGCCAGTGTAATTTGTGATCGTGATATTCTGATGTGAAATAGATGATGTTAGAATGACGAGCGGTTGCAATAGGTTCTACGAGATGGAAATATCAAAGTTGACTCACATGGTGCTCGAACCCCTTGATAGCATAATTCGGTATCGGGAAATGCTGCAGTTGATCGAGGGGGCTTGTAAGCCTCTCCACCTGTTCGACGTAGAGTGCCCAAGCAAGGCTTCCTATCGTGATATTCCTTCGCACCGCCTATATCGCGCGGGATAAACCTTATGAGATCCTTGACTTGTAGGATAGGGAATTCTAACCGACCTCGTCGAAAGCTAAGCCGGAGCGGAACCGACAAACCAACACGTCGACTACGTCGATGTTCCCTTCTCCGACCACAACATGACCTCCGTTGCGCTTGATACTGTCCTCCACCGTAATCCGAACATCTTCACTAACGCCAAGATCGTCCGCTAGCAACACCTGCTTTCCACTCCAAATGTTGTTCGTCTTCTGGCGAGTCGATTTGGACCGTTTCTCGCCACACGCTTCTAGCACGGTCCGATACAATGAGTTTTTTTCAGTTGATTCGACGATGACCTTCAGCCTGTCGATGAGTTCGCCTTGGGGGGTCGAGGCGAGTGCCGCAAGGGGCTTGAAGATTGCGGGGCTTGGGAAGGAATAAGGTCCGGTTGGTATCTTTTGCTGGAGATGCTGGCAGTCTTGAAACCATGTAGGGACGACTACCTCTAGATCGAGAGTTTGCTTAAGTCTCATCGCAGCTTCGTATACATCCTGTGGTGGGAAAGGATTGCCAGTCAGCGTATGATATAAGTCCGAGAAATGAGCCTACCCCTTGAGGAGCCAATGCAAACACATGTGTGACATCCGTGGTAAAAGCGTGCTTCCATTGGCCACCGTAAGCATACATCGCCCCGCTCAAGGCCTCAACATCGTTTCGTGGCAGCTACTCATGCAAGACGCGTTATTGCACTCTCAGAATCGTAGTAAGGATATTTAAAGCACGCACGTCACCGTTGCTGACAGCTATGACACCAGACATGAACTTGCTTGGATCGGGTGAATAGTACTTAGGACTAAACAAACGTAGTGCATTTGAGATTCCATAGGACATATACATGAGGAGACACGTACTTCATCCGCTTTCTGTGCTTGACCGAATGCGCTAGCCAGACTGTCTGCAATGAGATTGCCATCGAACGTCAGGTAAATGAAACAGTCCGACCACGACCGAGAAGCCAGCTCACTGTGGCCATCGCAGTATCAGAAGCCAAACGACTGCCTTCCTTAAGATCTAGTGTCTCCGTAATCACAAGATTCGCGTCTAGCCATGTCTCCGCGGCAGTTGCCCCTCTTGCTATAAGCACTCGACGCGCCTCCCGCCGAGTCTCCTCTGGTAGGGCTGGGTCAAGGACGAACTCGATGCCGGTAAAGATTTGTTCAAGCTGTTCTTCTGCATTCTCTTCGGATAGGTATCCTGCCATACGTTCCGCTTACCGCGCCAGTTCGAAATATTCAAGAGGGGGAATGGGAGCTCACGGATTGGTTATGGCCGGTTGGTTCTGCAATAACAGAAGTCGTCGGGTTACGTAACCACGCGTGTTTATAGGGTCTTGATAGCAAAGCACAAACAGAGACGCAGATCTATTAACTCAATTTCAGTGCTTTCTATTTGTTGTCATCGACCACAGATCGTCAATTCAAAACTAGGATTCACCCAAACCCATCCGATTTATCCAACCTTTCTGAGCCCCTGCTTAAACAATGGACTCTCAACCACCTCATCCCAATGGTGTATCATCCTCGTGCTCTCGGTCGATAGTCTAACCTCTAGCCCAGTCCGACTCTTCATTTCTTCTTCATACGCATCGATTGATACTCCTCTCCCCTTAACATCTGTGTGCCCCATGTCGTTAATGGTGAACGAAGAATACGCAGGGACCGCAGATGTGCAGTCGCCCATTGTGTCAGACGATATATCAGACGATGCAGACGATGTAAGGGTGAGGAATGACCGGATGCGGTGAACGAGTTCGAGAGCGTCTTGAAAGGAGGAGTTGAGCCCTTGGCCTCTCTCTGTAAACATCAGGAATGGGGCGATGGTGAAGAGCCTAGAAAAGTGAGCTCTCACGAAAGGTCATTGGGTGTGCTGCATCTCCCACTAGGGTTACACGACCATTATGATTATCCCATTGATGCTCCGAAACGCTCGGATCCCACATCGAGAATGGCGTGTACCACACCTTCTGCCCCTCCGGCAACCATTCAAAGCCGCTCCTCCATGGTTCCGAAAACGATTTGGCCATCTCCTTCATTTGTCTCAGCTTCATGCTGTTCGTCCAGTCTTTCGTCTGCTCCTCCTCCTCCAGGCTTGTCTTGAATGAAATCATGAGACTCATGACCCATGACTCTGGTTCGAGCGGATTTTGTGCTGAATGAAGACCGCACCAACCCATGTACCCGAGAGGATGAATACCTGCTATGTAAAGAGGGTGGAACGAGCGTAGGAAGCGAACTTGCGACTCGGTGAAGGTCGCATATACGAAACTGAACGCGAAGGGGAGGGTAGTGAGTTGCGCCTTTTCAGGACCAAGTAGGAGAGTACGGACGGTCGAACGGTGGCCGTCGGCTCCGACCAACATACAGCCAGTGGCCTCAGTTCCGTCATCGAAACATGCAGTCACATTCCTCCCGTCTTCGGAGTAGAGAATGCTCGAAAGCGATTTGGAGTGCTGAATCGCGATGCCAGTGGAGAGGAGGGTACGCAGCTTGCTGCGAATGATCCTCCAGAAGTGAGGGACGACGAAAGAACCAAGGGTATCGCCACTTTGGGCGTTGAGGTAGCGAAGGGTGTCTTCTGGAGGACAGGGCTTGCTAATGGAATATTATTGTCAGAAAGCTGACAACATGGGTAAAGTAGAGGAGCAAGATGGTACTCCTACCTCGGATCAACCTGACAAGTCTCCAACTGAGCAAACAGTTCTGGCGGAATCAGAGATTGAAGGACGGGAGCTCCCCACTTTTGAGGCTCTCATTAGGAATGTCTCCATAGAGCGGAAAGACGAGGGCATCTTCGTACATGGAGGCCAATATTCCAGTCTCTGGCGCGCTGTACATCAGCCGGCTCCCGTTCGAAGATGAGGAACTTGATGCTGGCCTAGAATATGGCCAGATGAATACTGTGAAGAGACGTCTTGTAACACATTCGCGGACCTGTTTAAGACCTTGCGCAATGGCTAAGCCAGTGAGACCTGTGAGACCATTAGAGATGGGATGGAATGCATGGGTGGGTGTGCATAAAATCACACCTGCGCCGATAATCAAAACCGTGTCCGCATCGCCGGAAGGGACGATCTCAGTATCTGACATGGTAGCCTGAGGGGTGGTCTTGGGAAGTATTCAATACAGGGGCCCGTGAGTATTGGCACAGACGCCGAACCTTCGCCGAACACCAGCACTACCACTTCATTCTCATCTGGCTCGACTAGTCCTTTATAAAGCTGCCAGAGATTAGGGCCCGGATCTGGCATTGCTGAAGAGGAGTATCTGGCCTCCCAAAACCAAGAAAAGTAGGGGCAAAAGGGGCCGGAGGATGAGTGCGCTCACCACACAAGACACTCCGTTACACCCATGTACTCCCTTCGATCGGGATCGAACCGATGGCCTTGGGATGACAAGATATCCGATTACAGTCCCACGCTCTTCCAGCTGAGCTACAAAGGGTTGGTCGGTAATGTCGAGCAGCTACATACTCGGACCCACCAAGACGGCTTCAACATCTTGTACTATCTGGACTCTCGAGATCACAAACTCTAGCTTCTATAATGCTATAAGGTCTATTACGTGACTTGATCCCCGCCATCCTTGCTACCGTGAGTCGGTTCCTTTCCAGACGCATGACCAACCGGCAAGCCAGCGAATTTGCTTCGCAACGCCTCGTATCGTCTTCTCTGTATCGCAGAAACAGATGGAGAAATTCTCTCCAGCGCCTTTTCAAAGTTTCCGAAGCCTAATTCGATTGACCCCGGCTCCATTCCCATCATCGCATCACCCGCACCTGCAAGCGCATCTCCTTCGTCCTCTTCCTGCGCTTCGAACGTCTGAAACACAAGATGCGACTTCAACGCTCCAACAGCCGCTTCTCTCACCCAACTCGCGATGTCTGCGCCACTGTATCCTTCGGCCTTTGAGCTCCCAATAAGGCCTTCGACATCTCGGAAGACCTGTCCGTCAAACCCGCCTTGGATCGGGATGACCTTCTTGTTGCCGCGCTTTGAGGTTCGACGGCCCGCACCGACCAAGGTGCGCATGATTTCTACGCGTTCTCCAGCATTGGGTAAGTCGACATAGAGGAGCTTGTCGAGTCGGCCAGGCCGACACATGGCTGGGTCGATCATATCCGGTCGGTTCGTAGCTGCAATGACGTACACCGAGGTTCCTCGTGATTCCAAGCCATCCAACTCCGTGAGGAGAGTATTCACAACGCGGCCCGATGCTTCCGACTACTCATGCAGTTCTGTAAGCTAACACGGCGTGTTTGGCTGATAAAACGTCGGGACACATACCAAACTATCATCCCGGCGAGGTACGAGCGCATCTAATTCGTCGAAGAAGATAATACAAGGCGAGGATGCCCGAGCGCGTGTGAACACCTGCCGCACTGCACGCTCGCTTTCGCCAACGTACTTTGAACGCCCGCGTGATTAGTACATTATTTCAGATTGGTGTGACAAATCCTGACCTTGTTCAATAGCTCAGGCCCTTTCACATTGATGAAGTTAGCTTTGCTCTCGTTGGCCACAGCTTTTGCGAGCAAAGTCTTCCCGCATCCTGGGGGACCCCATAACAGAACACCGCACGGCGCGTCAACCCCGACCAGTTTGAACAGTTCCGGTCGCCTCAAGGGATGAACTACGGCCATCGACAGCTCTTCTCTCACGTTCGCAAGAGCACCAACATCTGCCCATGTGACATCTGGGATGGTGGCAAATCCTTCCCGTTTGGATGACGGTTGTACCCCTACCAGCGCGAGCTTGAAGTCTTCCGAGGTGATTTTAAGAGGCGAGAGCTGGCTCTCCGTCAGTGTGTTTGGGTGTGCTCGGAGAAAATGGGCGATCGAGGTCGCTGGAAGAGCATTGGGGGGGAGGGAGGCGAATGGCACCTTCAAAGATGCTTCTGACATCAGAAGTTTGGGCTCCGTTCCCTCCGATGACAATGATTGGTCGATGGGCATGTCTGCCATGCTCGTGGTGTCCGGAGGTAAGGCGATGAATCCCTCAGCTAACCCTTTGAAGATCCGTTTGACTGCAATTACGCCTGCAGCTCCTGTCAACGCTGATAGGTCGGCACCGACAAATCCCGGGGTAGCTTTTGCGAGGGCCCGAAAATCTAAATCCCCGGCAAGTCGCAGTTTGGCAGACTGAACTCGGAGAATTCTGTGACGAACAGAAGCAGTTGCTATGGTTGAAATGAGTCCTGAAAGCGGTGAGAACTCACTGCTCTCTGGCCTGTTCGTCAGGTACACCCATTGTGATTTCATGATCAAACCTCCCAGCTCGTCTAAGAGCCGCGTCCAGAGAGTCCGGACGGTTTGTCGCACCGATCACCATGACCGCGTGGTTGTTCGTTTTCTCCCATGCCAAATCTATAGTTGGGGATATCTACCTTCAAAAGTAAGCTTATTCAAGGTATCGTGCTCCACGTACCATCCATGCAAGTCAGGAATTGAGCGACGATACGACGTTCCATTTCACGCTGAGCGCTTTCGCGTTTCGGTGTAATAGCGTCAATCTCGTCAATGAAGAGCAGACAAGGTGCGATACGCTGAGGGGAGGCTATAGTCTGTAAGCCACAAGAGAGGGTTTGGATTTGGGACTTGACATGCGAGCTGACCTTAGCCTCTTCGAACGTCTCACGCAGGGTCTTTTCTGATTCGCCGGACATCCCAGAAACTATGGAGGGTGCAGAGATACTGATGAACGGAACACCAATTTCCTACTCGACGAGGTGAGGTAACTCAAGCTAGAATCACAGGCCTTAGACAATCAGGAGCTATTGACTCACTCCTGCGATGGCATTGGCGAGCAAGGTCTTCCCACACCCGGGTGGTCCATGCAAAAGTATGCCCCTCGGTGGTTGTACTCCGGTATGAAGGTAGACTTCGGGATGGCACAGTGGCATCGCCACCAGTTCTAACATCTTTTCAACACAAGGTTGCACTCCACCAAGGTCAGATAATCGAGTTGTCGGAGGAGGATGCTCAGCTGACACCCCTCCAGTCACGGCTTTCCGCCGCTTCTGGGGAGGGTCCGTCACCACCGCTCTGTTGGATCGTTCCTTTCTCTTCGATGGAGTGGCTGAAGATACAGAGGTAGAGGCTCCATTGCCGTTGAGGGCACAGCTGCTCGGTTGCTCGGCACCGACATCGAGATGGGAACCATCAAAAGCTGCAGCTGCACTGTCATCTACTTGGGGTGTCATTGCGCCATTCGCAGGAGTCATGGCATCTAGAACTTCGACAGCAATTGGTTTGTTGAGGTTCAGTTTAGTCCGCCTGTGATTCGACCAGAGACCTTGCATGGATCGGTTGAGCGCATTGGGACCCTAATCTTACCCGGATCAGCGACCAGAGCAGTTCTCTCCTTTCCGCCTTAACAGCTCACCGAAATGTCCATAGAAGGGAGGAGGAAATTTCAAGCTCGATTCTCCAGTCGATGTTCAGCATTCAGTGCAAGCTGGTGCAAGCACAAATAAGCCCCTGAACCCTTCTGGTTCTTTGACCCGAAGGAAAGGCATATGCGCGTTTTCGGTGTCAGAGCTCTACCAATGCGTTTTATCACTGGACTTGGTGTTATGTCTAAGTCTGCACTCCACTGAGTGTATTTGGCCTCATCCGTATTACCGCTCAGGTGGAACTCCGAGCATCATCGTCCCAGTCGAATCCGCTCGTCCCTAATTCCATTCCACCATTCACCAGCGGCAATGAACCCCTTCCCTTCCCGCTTCACACTCTGAACGACGAGCGCTGTGCCATTCCCGCAGAGCACTAAGAGGGCTTTGAGCTCCGGAAGGAACGTGCACTCCCCCGGCTGTTCAAGTGATGTAGGAGGGTCGAATTCGGCCACAAAGACACCGGAAAGGATCAACCTCCTCGGTGGCTCCTTTTTTTGGGAATTGGGCATAAAGGTTGTGACAAGAGGCCGCTAAAACATGCGCCTGGCGTGAATCCCCGTACATGAAATCATCGCACGAGACGCGGCTACACACCTGATGACCATAAGCGCGATGAAGCCGGTCGATTCGTTGGGCGTCGTCAGTCCAATTAACATCCCCGGCTTTTGCTCTGATCATTCTTGTTTTTGTCGCCTGCGAGTGATCTTGCGGATATTTTGTAAACTATAAGACAAATTGAACAGCTGTGAATATAGGGAGGAGGGGAGGATTAAGTACTCACAATGCCCTTCGATAGTCTACGCAGCACTTCCACCAACAGCTCACCGCCCTTTTGAGCCAATATTGGTGCCAGTGTGTTGTATGATGCTCGCGGAGGGATTTTCTAGATTCCGGATCTCAGCATCTGTTCTCTATCTACTATAATGTACTGTGGATGAGGTACTTACCACTTTCTCAATCGCATGAACATCCCCGGTATCGAAACCTTGAGACACGTCCTCCATATTGATGACACTGACACCAGTCTCTACATCATCATTTGCAATGGCCGTTTGTATGGGTGAGGGGCCACGGTATTTTGGTATCAAAGACGGGTGTACGTTGAGGCGATGATCGAACAGGGAGAGAACGTCGTTAGTAATGGCGCGGCCATACGAAGCTGATATGATCACGTGATTCAGTGCTCGTTCATTGAATGGTGCAGGAGGCTACGGGGAAGTTGATTCAGCGGGATATCTTGGCATGTGACTGGTCACCATCGCAGATGCCGACGCACAAGCCAAGGGGTCATGCCTTCCAACTCTTTGGGTATAAAATGGCAAGGGACGCCAAAATCCTTTGCAAGGATACCTAGAGGGGCTGAACGGGGGATTAATAGCCCTCGCCTGACTAGAGTAGAGTATTAGACGCACCTTACATCTTGAAATTTCGCTATGCCGCCGGCCAACGCGGTCGTCAGGGGTTGTCACGACATCAATATTTGCCCAGACATCTGGAACCCAGCCGTCGATATCTAGGACAGCTGTAACCAAATTAAACATTCATCCGCTCACCTTGTGCCTTGAGTATTTCCTTGAAAACAACACAAGAGAAATCGTCTCGCCCAAAAAACAACAACTTCAAGGGCCCGCAACCATAATGGTTATGAACGCATCGGTGGTGAGGGAGGAGCCGCAATATTCGTTTCGGCGCTAACATTACGCGTCGGAATATGGTTTACCGTAGACACTTGGGTTCAGAGAGGAGTAAGTGCGAAAAGACAGGAAAATGGACTAGTGCGAATCTCAACATGGTTGATCGATGTTTGCTTGGTCTGGAATGATAGGTGCCCTCTTGCACATCGAGCGCCTCACGCACAGGAGTTTCTCCTCTTTTGAACCTTCAACGCGTTGATGTCTGCCCTGACAGGCTATGTCGATCGTGAGTCCTTCTCGCCCTTGCAGCCAGTGTACTTGAGGATTGACTTCAGCATGTATAGGCCGCGTTCTACTCATCATGCATGATGGAAGAACGATAGTCGTGCGCATCTCTCCACAGTCTAGAAGGACACG